GTAGTTATAGCTGAGTTGGTTGGCGCGTGAATGCAATTTTCGTTCGCGTTAATAGATAAGAAAGTCAAAAATGATCGGGTTCGAATTCCACGCCAGTAAAATCATTTTTTAAAATTTTGGAATACTTTTTATGTTTGTATAGTTGATGCTATATGAACTATTTAAAATTGTTAACTCACAATCAGTGCATATATTTCGCGAACGAAAAATTGATGCATTTGAAATAAAATATGTTCAATCTCACAATAAGTACGCTTGATTGGATTTTATTTATATATATTTCATTCAAACATATATAAACAAAACGTCGTCTAATCTAATAAGTTTTCACATTTTGTCTATAAGGAACAAATAATGAAAATTCTAGTTTTTATAATATTTATTCATAGACATTTTTGTTGACTGATTATTTTTATTCTTAGAATGTTTAATTATGGTACGGGAAGTTCCAACAATTTGCCTTAAGGCACGATGCCATGCGCCCCACTAGTTCTATATTGTTATGCCCCATGAATAACTTTAGAACCTCACCTATATCTCTAACATGAATGAGTCCATCTTTGGAGGCGGTCAAAATCAAATTCTTCACATGGCAGGCGTAGGCAAGGGCCGTCACCTTGCCCGTCGTCGGCAGCGTCCACAATTGACTCGCCTTCAAATCGATCACGAAGATGTTTCCTTTGCGGTCGCAGGCGGCCAACCGCTCCTCGTCGTAGTCGAAGGCGACCAGGAAGAATTTGATTCTTCGGATGTCGCCCGTTTCGCCGACCACGGTGTGGTGGATCTCGAGCAACATTCTTAAAAAAAAACATAATTCATTCAATGAAACATGCCAGAAAGTTATCTGATAGTGTTGTGTTTTTTCATAGTGGCAAAATTATTGAATCTGGAAGCACTGGGCAAATATTTAACAATGCTAGGTCTCCTTTAACACAGGAATATATACTGGATTATTAAGCTATACTGCTCAGCGAATAAAAAATGAGATAGAAATTTTATACTAAAAATTGGTACGGAACCCATAGAAATGTAAACAAAATTAATAATTATTACTAAAATCTCTATAAAATATCTGATAATTTGATGTGCTTATGTCTAATGATCATTTTTGACCGACAAATGGCTTTTCTTTTTACATTTATCACTCGATCGCCGTAACCGCTAGATCTGCCTTCCCAAAAATTCAATCAGTTCTTCATTTTGTCCATACAAGTAAAATGTTTTTGAATTATTGAAATCGGACGCTCCATTCTCTCAAAAACTGAATTACCATTTTTGGCTCTATTTTTCCCGTATCTTCAAAAGGGTTGAACCTGCCTTTACAAAAACTAATCAGCACGTCTCCTTATCAATAGGAATCGAATGTTTTTTGAATCATTCAAATCGGTTGAAACGTCTTCTTGAAATCGTCGACGAAATTTTATATCCGAACATACACACATACATCCGTTTTTAAGGTATTACAAAATGTTCAGAAACCTCTGAAACGTAGAGAATGCTTCTGATTGTAATTATGTAGACAAATTAATTTATTTAACACATTTCATTTCATCCATTGTATCTTCTAAAAATCATGATCTAAAATTGATTTTTTCGATTTCTATTTATAGGGAGATGTGCTGATTAGTCTTTGGCAGAGGCAGGTCCAGTCCTTTCGGAGATACGGAGTAAAGAGTGCAGAAAAAAGAAATCGAGTTTTTGAGAGAACGGAGCATGCGATTGGAATGATTCTAACAACATTCAACTCGTAATGAGGGAGAGAATTGGTGATTAGTTTTTGGCAAAGGCAGGTCTAGCCATTTCAGAGATACGAAGCTTAATGCGCAAAGCATTCCAATTGAATGATTCAAAAAAGGTTCTGCTTGTGTTGACAAAACAATTACTTTTAGAATTTGAAATTTTGAATTTTTTTTTCTATATCGAAAATATTTCAGATTTTAATTTTATTTCTGGCTAAAATTCTAAAGCTCACTTATATAATTATAAAGCTCACTTATAAATAATTTTAACTTTGCACTTCAGTTTATAAAGTTCTTTAAAATATTAGACAATGCATTTTAAATCTGATAGAATAAGTTTTGTTTCGGTACGAGAAGTTCTAGCAATTTGCCTTAAAGCATGATGCCATACATAACTAGTTCAAATTTGCTCTCACACGATTCAGAATGACTTGAAAACGTCGACTTGAAACGTCGAGAAAACAAAATTTAAACTATAAACTCATTAAATAGTGCTAATTGAAAATGTAATACTTACCCATTTTCAGTTCGTTTTTTATATTGAAAATCTTGCTTTTGTACCACATCATCTTGTTGAAAAGCATTCAAACTATTCATTACAATAACAAAATCCCTTTAATTAATCCTCAATCAATCACAGAAATATTTCGATTTTTCTAAAGTGTAAACAAAAAATGTCAACTGTCAAATTGAATGAAGTTGAAACTAATAACGAGAAAGGATTAGGAACTTAAAACTGTAAAAACTTAAATTACATATCTGTTTTTTTAAAAACACCGGAATTATATTTTGCAGGCACTACATAATTATAAACGTTTAGTTTTGTGTAAAAATGTAAATAAAAACATTATAATGTCGGGTTGACATTTGACTTGTGTCAAATTAATTGCGCAAGATTCCGCAAAGCTCGATGGCGGCGCGCGTGAGAAATACCTGAAGTTGTTTTCAATAGAGAAAGGTAAGCAAGAAAAACCAGTGGCGTAGAAAAAAAATAAAAAAAACTAGTGGTGCATGGCAAAGTGCCTTAAGGCAAATTGCTGGAACTTTCTGTACCGTAATGAAAAAAATTCGAGAAATTTCAAATATATTATAAATACTGTAATTATCATTATTCGCATTTTATAGAAAAAATTTAAGGGGGGAGCCTGCTTTAGAGGCTTCAAAAAATCGCTTTTTTGAGGAATTTTTAGGGAAGGAAATAAATGTTGAATTGAAACAAAACTTTCAGGATTTATTGTTATATATTTCAACATTCTTCCCAATTTTTTTTCATTAAAATATATGTCATAATATGCCAGGTACAAGCATTTTGCCGATGCGCCACGAGAGTGTCATTTGGCGGAAAAGATGCTGGTCACAATTCCCAATTCCCATCGAAAACAAAATAATTCATACAAATATATATTTTCTATAGTAAAGATTTTAGTTGAACCTAAAAAATCCAGAAAAAAATAAAAATTCACCAGGTTTTCGCAACTTGAAAAAAAATCATGTTTTTGATACAAAATTTCATTTTAGATTGTTTGAAAAGTAGGTTAATCATAACTTTTTTTAAGTTTTTTTAGGTTGGCCTAGAATAGAATTTAATCCTGAATACAATGAATTTTGTCTCGTATCGATAGGACGTTTAGTTTTTTTCTATCTTTCTCGCCAATTAAGAAGAATCGAAAAAATTAAAAGCCGAAAAATCGCGCGTCGAAGTTTTCATTCCGCTCGTATACATGCTTGACGCTTGCACACTATTTCTTCTGTAATTCTGAAAATAATTTGAATTTGTTTCTGAAATTTAAGGGATATATTCGTGGCTAATTCTGGAAGACATTTTTGCAAGAAAAAAAATAAATTTTTTTAGCCTTTAAAGCCCTAAAGCTTCTAAAGTTTGAGTTTATAAAATAAATTGGCAATTTTATTTATTCTACGCCAATGGAGTAAAATGTTTTATCACACAGGTGAACCAGGTAAGAAAGAAGCAGAACAACCAAGGACGAAGAAGGGGAAACGAATCGCGGACAAGAATACGTTCGAAGCAACATACAAACGACTAACTTATGGTACAGGGATGTCCAAAACAGGGATCCAGAAATAAAAAATAAAAATTAAAATGTTTTTTATTGCATTTTATAATAATAATAATAAATTTAAGAATTTTTGAACCCCTCCCTCCACCTTGGTAGTACCTGGTGATATTTAAAATAATCAACGTCTCTGCACTTGCTGTAAAATCGATCTATAATTTATTTCTATATATCCTATATATTTTTTCAACTATCGATCCAACATATTTCTCTATCTTTGTATCCTATCCATGTTTCCCTATTCTATCTCTATCTTCTAACTATTCATAACTTTCTTTACTCAAAATCCTATACATACTTCTCTTAACTCATTTTTTAATTTTAAGCACACACATACATCTATTTCTTCTAAGGTATGCCAAAATGTTCAGAAACCTATGAAACGTAAAGATATATAAAGATTTTTATTTTTGATTCTTTTGCGATTTCTATAACTTACTCTAAGAGAAGTTAAAAAATTCTAATTTATTTAATGCTTATTACGATCAATACAATCACTCCCTTCGTTGACGTTGAATTCTGGGACACCCTGTATATATAACAAAGTACTCACTATAACTTAACCCAACCCTGTCTTCATATAGTCAAACCCAAATCACCAACACAAACAAACTTTCCTTCATTTGAAGATTCTATCTAAAGCAAGAAATATCTTGCCTTAGAAGTTAACTGTATTTCTGCTGTCAAATTAAATTATCAACTAAAAACGGTGTCACCACAAAAATCGATACCGATCATAAATTAATTAATAAATATAAAACTAATGAACCAGTGCCAACCAGGAACAGATACAACATATCGCCAACCAGTGATAAAAGAAAGTTAAATGTTGAAATGTTGAAATGTCCGATGTGATAAATGGATATTTATTAAACTATATAAATATTAATGTATACTTAATATTTTATTAAAAATGCCAGTGTCCTAATTAACGAATTTGTGTTTGCAAGTTTTGTTGCAAAAAAGTTGTGCAACAAGTTGCAATTTATATACCATTGTGCAAGGTGGAGGAATCAAATAGTGAACAATAACATGATAATATTAATTAAATTAAAAAATATAAAATGCATACAAAACATGAATAAAGTGAATATGGTTATTAAAAATTTAAAGTCCAATCAAAAGGAAAAAATTAATTCGTGATAAATTAATGGCAATTTTATAGCAAATACTCAATTACTTTCCATTTTAATCGTACTGTATATTTATTTTTTTATAATACAATTTAATTTATTTTGTTCGAATAAATAAGATATATTGATAATATATCATATTAAAATTATTTAAATATTTTATATAATTATAAATTTTACAACTTTAATTAATTATAAACTATTTATTTTTGAAACCATAAGTTCATATTCAGAATTTTTCTTAATTTTAACATTATTCAATAAATATTTAATTTCCTTTAATTTTTTGAGATTTATTTTAAAAATAACAAATAATTTAAAAATATACGTTAATTAATAAAAATTCAATTTCGAGATAAAACAAAGTTTATTTCACATTTCAAAAATAATTGTTCAGTATTTTCCCAAAAATAACATTATTTAATATATTTATAATACTGAGATTAATATTAAAAAAATAATATATATTTATATTAAACTAAATATTATATTACACTAATGTTAATACATTATTACACGAAATAAAAATATTTTTACATAAGTTTAGAAGTTCATGTGTAATTGCACTATTTTATTTTTATATGTATATTTAGTTTGTTGACTATTGAACTTAATTTTAACTATTTTTTTAATTTTAATTAAATCAAAAATTATTAAAAAACTCAAACTCAAATAAGCAAAACTCAAGATAAACATTTTTTGTAAATTCCAAAAACTTTATAAATTTTTGCTAAGTGTAATTTGGTGTTCTGGTGTGTAAAATACTACAATTAAAATATTTGTGTTTTATTTCATAAAATTTATTAAAAATTATTAATATTAAAAATTTTCTATTATTATTTTTTAAAAGTTTAATTAATTATGGGTTCCACTGTGGAGTACGTAGACGCCTCCCATGTGCACGCAGCCCGATACGCGCGAAATTCGAAAGCCGTGGGCGTTTTGTGGGCAATTTTCACGGTTTGCCATTTCATAATTTCCCTGGTGGCTTTTTTGACCCCCGACTGGCTCGGGGACTCCGAAGGGGAGTACCCTGCCAGGTTTGGACTGTGGAGCGCCTGCACGACCACGACTGATGTAAGTTGTAATTGAAATTAATAACAGAAAATTTCTAAAATGAAATGGAAAAAATGAAATTTCAGGTTTGGATGCGTCTATTAATCGCGTGGTTGATTTTTTAGGGATTTTTGGACCCTTCCTTCCCCTTGGTGGTGATATTCAAAATTAACTCTCTTCCCCAACCAAACATCACGTTTATTTTTAGTCACGAAAAAAAAAATGTTTTTTGAAAATGTTTGAATTTTTTTTCTGATTATACCCCTCCCTCCTTCACGTGATATTTTGTGATTTTTTGTCGCACCTCCCCTTCTTCTAAAAACCTCTCGTGATTAATGGCTCCTTTTTTGTAAGATCAGGAAAATTTTAATCGAAATGAACTGAGGAATATTCACAAAAAACGATAGTTATTCAATTATATAATTTATTATAAAATAGAGATTTGTGGTAGAAAGGTGAAAATTTAGACAAAAAATTAAATTTTGAAATGAAAGAAAAAAAATTCCCTCGAAAGCAATTGTTTCGTCAACACAAGCAGAAAGTTTTTTGAATCATTCAAATCAGATGCTTAGTTCTCTCAAAAAATCGATTTCTATTTTCTACACTCTTTGCTCCGTATCTCCGAAACGGCTGGACCTGCCTTTGCCAAAAACTAATCAGCACATCTCCCTATCAATAGGAATCGAATGTTTTTTATTTATTCAAATCGGTTGGTCCGTCCGCCCGAGAACGTGGACGAAAAATTGCGGACATCCATTTCTTCTAAGATATGCCATAATGTTCAAAAACCTCCAAAACATGAAAATTCCAAAAAAAATCAATTTTGATTTTCGGACGATTACAATAACTTACCCTACGGGAAGTTAATAAAAGTAATAGAGTTATATGTGATAGAAATACTCCTATATTGTACAATCATGCTTTCAGCAATTGAAATGTATATAGAAATTTTTATGTGAACTATTACCGTGGGAATATGCAATTGTCCATGGACAATTACTTTTCTAGTATTTCTTACACAAGATTATTTCTCTATTCATATATTTGCATAATTATGCAGAAGTTAAATTGTTCCCTATCTACGCCCAACTGAAGTAAAACTTGATGATTAAAAAACATACTTCAGATATCGGAAATTGACAATAAAACACGAAATATCACGTGGAGAGGAAGAAGTTTAGTAAGATATCACGTGTATTTATTTTTTACCTGATCATTTTTTTAAATCCAAACATTTTCAAAAAAATTAAAAAAAATATCGTAACTAAAATACACGTGATGTTTGGTGGAGGAGGAAGGATGATTTTGAATATCGCCACGTATTACCAAGCGGGAGGGGGGATCTAAAAATTCTTCAAAAATCGATCACGTGATTAATGGACGCCCCCTTATTGTGTGGTAATTTTAAACCTATCTTAAAATGGACAGCAATTAAAACTGTAGGATTAAAAAAAGACTCAAAAGACAAAATTTCTGACCACCTCCGATTGGCTATTGAGATTACATTTAAAAGTTCAAGTTTGAAAATTTTGATATCATACTGCTTGTTATCGAGCTGTCCGAGCTTGAAATCGAACGCAGAACCTGCTTGTGCTAAATACATTATAGATAATGTTTATCCACTACTTTTTTAGTTCTATATACTATAATTTTACACCTGTCCTGAAATGGACAATAAGTAAAATTAAATAACAAAAGTCTCAAAGTACAAAATACTATGGCGTCTACTTGTATAAGGGGGCGTCCATTAATCACATGAGGTTTTTAGGGGGAGGGGGGGGTTTGACAAAAAATCACAAAAATCACGTGGGGGAGGGAGGTGAATAGTAAGATATCACGTGTATTTATTTTTTAACTGATTCAAAGAAAAAATTCAAACATTTTCAAAAAAAAAATCAGAAATTTTACAGTTTTAACACTTAACTAAAAATACACGTGATGTTTGGTGGGGGAGGGGGGGTAATTTTGAATATCACCAGGTATCACCAAGGGGGAGGGGGGGTCTAATAACCCTTAAAAACTTGCTCACGTGATTAATGGACGCCCCCTAAGTATATTGGCGATTGGCAATATTCACTTCAGATTTTCAGAAATTTGATAACACACTGCTTGATATCAAGCTGACTCAGGTTGAAATTGAAGACAATCAAAGATCTATTTAAACCTAAGCAATAACAAAAAAATATTTTTATCTTACTTTGGATTTTACTAGGCTGGTGAAACATGCGATGGCCGCCTTGCAGATTTTTCGGAGCTTCCTTCTGGAATCTTCCAGTTGGCCACAGTATTCGTGGGGGCTGCCGTCGTGGCTTCGGCTTTTGCTATTCTTGCCATGCTGTTATTTTTCTTCTGTCCATCAACTGCTGTTTTCCACATATGCGGATGGCTGCAATTGGTATCTGGTTAGTAAGAGTTATTTCTTGTAACTATTTCCTTTTATACATACCTGCTGTAAAAAATAAATTCACAACACTATTTATTATGTTTATCCACTTTTTTCTAGCCGTTACAATGGCTACCGGAGCCCTATGCCACCCACTAGGCTGGGGTGCACCAGCAGTGCGTAGGGCCTGCGGCCCATCAGCAGGAGCTTACGCACCTGGTGCGTGTTCGCCCCGCTGGGCCTTGGCCTTAGCCCTGGCCGGGGCCTGCGACGCTTTGGCCCTTGCAGGACTCGCATTTGTTTTAGCTACGAGACACGTGAAACTACAAGCGGACGACGGAATTTATAACAGACCTGGCAGCGTATACAAGGGTAAGGAAAATTGACCATTTTGTGCCCAATTTTTTAGTACTACTATTATGATAATATTAATTTTCTGCATACGATTTTTTTTTATCCCAGGTGAAATAAACAACGCCTACATAACCGATGCGGCCAGCGTAACGGAATCACGCAAATCTCTTAATTTGCACCCGGTATTACTGGTATCGAGAGGGCCTCCGGCAGCCGGAGTGCCAATGGGGCACCCAGTGGGTCCTCCTAGGCCCCATCATGGAATGGTTGCAGTTCCTTCTCAAGCAATTATGGATGATGCTTGTTCGCAATTTTCTACTCGATATCAATATGGACAAAATAATAATGGGGGTAGCAGCGTGCACAATTTTCAATTGTAAAAAATTTTGATAACTGCGGAAATCGGTAATAGATAATTGAATGATGAAGCTAAATTATGGTAGATTTGGATAATTGGTCCTTTTGAGTCGAGGACGGTGAAGCATATAAAAACAACTTTAAGTAAAATATTTCTTTTACAAAATTTTGTCAGTCGTACCTTAATTTTAGAAAAAGTACTTTTCTGCATAATACATTTAAATAAAAAGTGTAATTTGATAATTTTTAAATAATATAATCATAATATACGCAAAATATATTTGCAACAATATTGTATAAATAAAATTAAAATCATAAATTATAATTTATCTAATATTAAATATGAATATAGTTTAATATAATAGGTGGAGATACTCAATAAATTATTTGTATGAAATGTTTCTTTGTAATCATTATTATTATTTTTTTATTACTAAAAACGCTGCTCATTTTCTTAAACTTTGATGAATTTTTAAAATTAAACGACTTGTCGTAGGGCCTTAATATTTTAGGATGTTCCTTATCACCAAATAAAAAATCGTCGAAAATATATAGTGAATAACAGTCCTTATCGAGCTACATATCATATGGCTTTAGAAATTTTAAAATCGATCCTATCAGTTTAGAAAACACGTCGACAACTTTTTCCAAATTTGGTCTCAAACGATACAGAATAATTTCAAACATCAAGAAAACATAAAATTAGTAGGTCGAATTTTTCAGCAAAAACAAACATTTCATTTCGTAAGTTAATTATTGTTATTATTTTACTCAAGTTTCATAATCAAGACTATCAAACTATTATTTTCTTAATTATTATTAATAATGTGCAGTGATTTTGTACACACATAAAATATATGTATTTCTTAAAAATATAATAACAATAACGAAACTTGTACATTAAACACTTTTGTACATTTGAACAATATACATCTAAACATATATTGGAGCAAACTAAACATATTAATATGATGTAAGGAAATTTGACTACAAATTACAACAAAAAGGACTCTCATTAATCAACAAAGCTGATAGACAAATATATATGTTTATAAATAAATAAATATGTAAATATATTTGAACATTTTGTTGATTTATACATATGTGCATATTATACAAAACATAGTAAGGCACAATGGAACAGAGATATATCGATATAAAATATCACCGTTCTTAAATGTGAAATACTATAGTATGTAAATATGATCCAACATTATAAAGCATATATATACAAAAATCACTTTAAAGTGTTTACATGTGCACTACCTTTTCACTAGCTTTTATTATAAATTGTTTGTTCGTAAATTATATATTTCCTAGTATAGAAATCTCCAATGTGATGAGGCTCTGAAATAAACGCAAAATTAATATATATATATATATATATATATATATATATATATATATATATATTATTACCTTAAGTCCAGCTGCCGTTATGATTGCCTATCACATTTTAAGAAAACTACCTTCAAACAAATCTAATTCATTCATTATATAATTTGCTTTATTACGAAGCACCTGAAAAACAAATCGCGCCAATTTTAATTATATTATAATTTAAGAAAAAATGAATGGATATATGAGTAAATAAAAATATACCTTAGCTTCTGAACTGTGTGATTCCAATCTGCAAATTTGTTGTTCTAGCGAGCAAAGCTCTTTATTCATTGATGTAGTCGCTTCATCAACCAAATGACAAAGTCTAGCAAACGTACTTGATAATTCTCTGGAAAATAAATTGTTATTTATATCAATGTTACAGAAACACAAAATGAAGAAAAATAAGTGCAGAACGGCATCAAAATTATTGACACAAAAATTATATTTTAAAAAATATAAAATTTAATGAGCAAAATGAAAATAATCTATGCAAGAAAATATTATCTATTTTCTACCTGGATATAAAAATCTAGGAAAAAGATTGAGAACTCATACTATATAAATAATATATAACTTCATATTAGGTTTTATTATTACATTTCATATGTTAATACGTACTGTTGAACTTGATGACTGCAATTGGCCGAAGTAAGATCCACAATAAGCCTAAGTTTTCTGGTAGCATGTTGAACATATTGTTTCTTAAAGGCTCTTTCTTTTGCTTTATTAGTCCATGTGAGTCTTTCATATAGATACGCACTGGCATACAAGGCTCCTGCTGCTGCTAACAAACGCCATCCGACCGTTTTCAACATCTAAAATTGGAAAAAAGACTTATATAATAAAGCACCAAATCTTTCGAAACTGATAACATTATAACTTTGTGATAAACCAAACAAATGAAGAATAAAGTATGTGAAATATTAACTTCATCTGTTATAACTTACAAATCCAGCTACTAGCAATCCACCCATAGTACCCTGTGATCCGATTGAAGCAACAGCCACACGAGATATGATGCCCCATTCATCTCGCAAAAGACTTGATGCATAGCACGGTACACCAGAATTCTGTCCGTTTTGGGATACTAAAGAATAATCACCAGAAGCTGTTGGAGTCATAGCTTGGTTTGGAACCTAAAGTAATAACAAAATATTAATCATGAATAAGATAATTGTATCAATTATCTCCTCACCCCTTCTGGATAGTTGGCTATAGCCAATCTATTAGCCTTTTTGCCGGCAAAACGTTGTATAAGGGCAGTGATGCCCCAAGAAAACCTAAACTCTAATCGTTCGGTAAAATCTGCACATAGGTTATCGCAATTCAATCGATAGAGGATTTCAAATGGTCCTGTTCGTGGTGCTGATTCTATCTGCTGTTTGGCACTCGGGCAGTCTGATAGTAGTTCACCCATACGCTCTAGAAAAAATAATAAAAGACTTATGTAATAATTGCATTTATAAAGAAGACTAGTAGTGCATGGCACCGTGCCTTAAGGCAAATTGCTGGAACTTCTCATACCAAAAATTAGATTTTTGAGAGATTTTAAATTTTTGATATAAAAACTTTTGGAAAAAAATTGTTTTTCAAAGCGTATAGATATATAAAAATTGACATTTTCACGGAAAATTAAAAATAATAAAGTAATAAAATAAATGTCAGGGAACAGCTCTTGCTATCAGTGAGGCAAAAGCTGAGGAATTGAAATATTTAAATAAACAGAAATAAAGTATATATAATTATTAAAATATCAGCAAAATATTGTGATGATTTTTATTTTTTTCCTCATTCTAAACACCAGCACTAATTCATTGCTATTTAAATCATTTTGCTGAAAATATTTTATTTTGCATACAATAAACATTCTTTTACCACAAAATAACTTTTAAAACAAAGAATTTGTTTGATTTTTCTCGTTAGAAACAGAAATATGACATCATAAGCATTATAATAATTTTTTAATTCTAAAAATTAATTTTTAGTCCTTTTGAAAAAAATACTGTTTAGCATAATTATCATTATCTAGCATAGTTTTTTTTTATTTTTGATAGAAATTCATAACGTTCTTTATACCATATTCTTCTTTTTCCAGCACCTCCTTTAAAATATCTGGTGTAGGTAGCATCTGACGAATCAAATCTATATTTAAAAGGGTGTTTGCATTGGTACTACAAAGTGCCAAATAAAGTAAGAAAATTAATGTTGAAAACTTAATTTTTAAAGTAAACTAATTATTAATTTTTTTGCTTTCATGTCTATTCTATCAATTTCTTATATATTAAGATAAATTTAAAATATACTCCTTGAAATAAAGTTAAGTCATCTAAGAAATGTATGATAAGAAAACACAGAGCTTAACACAAAAGAAAAATCGAAAGAACTACAATAAAACTTAAAAATCTATGTTACTATGGTACTATGTTAATAACTTTAAATTATACATTTAAAAATTACTATAATAGATTTTATACAATTATTACCAATTATTTCTAACACTTACCACACATTTCTTTCTGTGCTGCCTCAACATTCATTGCCAAAGCAGTTGATAATCTGGCACGAAGATTTGAGCCCAAGCCATTTTCTACATGGGCATGTAATTCTCGTTTGTAGACATTTAAAACCAGAGGCTCAGCATGGAAGGGCAAACTAAATTCATCGACTAAAACGGCCAATCTTCGGATTTCTTCTGACAAAGCTTTAGAGACCTAAATAAATATTTTATAAATTTCAATACTAAAACATATTGCTAAAAAAAATAATTATCAAGAATCAGATCTCTCTATTATGAGACTGTACTAAATTCTTTCATTACCTAATAAAAATATTATCAATGATTAAATTAAAGATAATACAAGATTGACACCCACCCTTTGTTCGACATCCTCAACCATGCCATGTATTTTTTCTTTCATTTCTCGAGTTGCTGCCATAAGTTGAGTTTCAGTATAATTTAAACTGTCCGATACCTTTCGTTTTTTCTCTAATGTTTCTTCACGCAATGTACCAGCACGTTTGTATATTGAGTCAAGAGTACTTTCCATTTCACTGTAAATATAAAATAGGAATGATAAATTAATCTACAAAATGTAATTAACACAAAAATATAATGGTATATTCCCTACTAATTACACTGTTTGTCTGAATGTTTCAATAATTAAATTATTCGAGAAGCATTTTAGAAATAAAGTGGGTTATTAAGAAAATATGTATTCTTTTATTTCTACCCACATGGCAATATTTTTGCCCCCCTGCGAATGCTGCTCAAACTTCGTTTTGACTGCAGACTGTGAAATGCATTCCTCGAATTTCCTCTCAAAATCTTGGAATTCAAAATATCGCGTCTGAAAGCCATCAGCGAGTGCCCCTGAATGTGGTGGTTGCCCCTTCTGTTCTTGAAGTCGTGCATTCAAAACCTCTTTGGCCGATATGAAGAAAACCCTTTCGTCAGCTTCTTTAGGCGTACAAACTTTTAATTCTTTCACCAGGAAGTCAACCGATCGCTCCAGATGCTGTGCTCTGACCTGAAAATAAAATATACTTCAGAAAATTGTAACAAATAGAAATTTTCTTTTTCCATCAATGCTGCTGGAAATGAATGGATTGTGATTTTGCATATAAGTAAATTAAAGCATGTGTAAGCCACATTGTATATATATATATATATATATATATATATATATATATATATATATATATGCACTCTCTAGCTCGAATGTGCCAGCTTATATGAAATATTGATTTGGATATCCCTTTTCAATTGGGAGCAATTAAGAGGAATATTTGTGCAACCTAGCACCGGTGAGATTCTAGAATTTATGCAAAGTATTATGATAAAGGAACTTATACCGAAATTTATTATTAGCATTTAGAAATAGAGGAATATTATTTTCATTAAAAAAATCAATTACTATAGATTAGGGAATGCAATACCGGTATACCGGTATACCGAATTACCGGTAAACCCCGGATTTTTTGGCGGTATTTTTACCGGTATTTATCCCAAAAATACCGGTATTTATTTTTGGGATTTGGTATTTTCGGTATTTTTACATAAGCGCTATTTGATACATAATACACTAAAGTTTAAATTTCTCGCAACAAATTTATCTTTAAATTCCATAATCGCATAAACAGCTATATCTTCAAGTGATTCTATAAGATAAACAAATGTCAAATATTATCTCAACTCGTCATTAAACTGAATATTTATTGCTTTACTAAGGACTTCATATCGTGTTACAATAAATAGAATTGGACTGATAGATTATGATGTTTGTTTCATCTTCTGTAAAAATGTAACGGTTTTTAAGTGATATTTGCGCCAAAATATTTTATATCATACAGATTATCCCTGCGTAATCTTTATTTTTTTCTAACTTTATACATAATAATTATGATAACTACCAAATATTTTTGCTTCTTATTACAATTATAAAATATTATTCTTCTAAAACGTTTCAAAGTTTGGAAATACTATAGAACCATCACATTGTTTCAAATAACAATACGCAACAATTATAGTAACTTATTATTTATCTCGACTAAGAATCCGATCTTGAATCAGTGTAGAAAAATTATTTTTTTAAAATATTGGAGATTATGCTAATTTAACACATTGGATACAGACAATACAGTTTATTATAAAAATGTAATATGATCTTTTATGAGTTTTTGGTCTTTCTTACTCATAAGTTTGTTTTTGGTTAAAAGTACTAAATATACTCGATAATGATGATGAGTTAAATTCGACATAATTTTGTTAAATTATTATTAAAAATAACAAACTTATTGTTTTTTTTTATTTTTTTGTTGAATATAGTTGTAATTGTATATACATTTTTTTATATTTGTACTAGTAACTTTCAATTTTGTTTACGTTTGTGTAAGATAATAAAAATACCGGTAATTTACCGGTATTTCGGTTTTAAAATGAAAAATTAACGAAATACCAGTATTCAAATTTTCCATCGGTATTGCATTCCCTACTATAGATCAACCCTGAATACCTAAATAATTGATGATCAAATTAAATCATGAATATTCTTTATAACTCATGCAGCACACATATACTTTACTTGAGGCAAATTCAAATACATAACGCACAATAAGATATTCACAAGAAATATTATCTTAAATATTTATTATTAAGGCAACAGAACATAAAAAACGCCCTTTAAACAATTCAATTTGTTAAACTCATAATACTAACCTGTTTTTGTTCGTCGCGCTAGCACAAAAGAAACAAAACAAATTAATGAAACAATTATTTCACAAAACGTGATTCATCCAGACAATACGAATAAAAATTATAGATGTACAATAAATGCATCAGAAATGTATTTACCTGATCTAGAAATTCCGGTTCAGAAGCAGAAGCATCCCAACGGTTGTTCAGAACGAAAATGTTTGGTTTGGACAGTCGTGTAGACACTTTGTGAAAGAAGTTCTTTTCCTGTGGCAGAAATAAAGTATGAAATTAATAAAATATAATGTTAATATACTTATGTATACTGGTAATCATATATCTTCATCAAAATGTATTAAAGTGTTATAAAAACAAAATATTAAATTTATTATTTGATTAAAATTAATTTTCTTTCCATTTACTGACCGTGACCATAAGTGTACTTTCTGCATTAGCAACTAGAACAAAGACATCGGCGTCCAAGCAATGTTTGTCAATCCATCCATCCAAATTAGGTGTAACATCCACACCAGGACTGTCCACAAACACCACATCATCCCGAAGTAAAAGACATCTTTCCTTAGGCCAAAATATTCTCACAAGCTGGGACTCGCTCAACTTCTCTTCACACAAAGCATGAGCCAGTTGTCCAACAGACTGTGAAATAAATGGTACAAATTATAAAGGAAAAGTCATTGGATAAATAAAAGTTATATATTCATTTACCTTAACATTCATCCTTTCTTCACTGCCTTCAGTAACAAGATAGGCTTCCTGTCCAGGAGTTCCTTCAACTTGCAGAAAACAATTTGTTGTATGTCCAATTCCGCTTGGTAAAATTTTATCACGTAACATCGCATTAATAACTGTGCTTTTGCCATTACTGGTTCTACCAAAAAATGCAACCTTGGAAAGAAAAAAAAAAAAAAAATTTAGTAAAATAATCTTTTAATTGCATAAATTAAATTAAAATAAATTGTATTACCTTCATGTGATCTCTACACAACACTTCTCGAATGCCTCTAACTTTTTGTACATATGTGCCAATTTTTTTTACTTCCTGCTCATCGATAATTTCTTTTGTTGAATTGTTCATCACTAAAAATAAATAAATAATCAATTAATGGAATTTTAACAATATTTTCTAAATATGCAATAACTAAATTCATCAGTTAAGTTGCAAATTTTTATAGAATAATCCTTATAACCCAATAATTAAACTAGTGGGGTGCATTGCATCGTGCCTTAAGGCAAATTGCTGGAACTTCCCGTAGAGTAATTAAATATTCAAGGAATGAAAATAATCAATAATTGTTTACTAAAAATTTGTTCTTTTTCTAATTTGATTTTTAAGTTTTTGATAATTTAGAAATTTCTTGATAATTTAGAATTTTTTTCAAGATTTTAAATTTTTTTTAGAAGTTTGAAATCTTTGGGATTTTCTTTTTTTAAAAAAGTTTTTTCTAAATTTTTTTCGAGACTTTTTTTGAAAATCGATTTTTTTTTTGAAAATTTCGAAATATTCTCAAATTTTTCTAAGTAATCGATTTTTTTTAAATTTCTATATTTTTGAAATTTTTCAAAGTTTAGTTTTTTCTTTGAAAATCGAAAATTTGAATTTTATAAATCTTCGATTTTTTTTTTGAAAATTCTGATTTTTTTTTTGACAATTTTCAAAATTAATAAATCTTCTGTAAATGCATTTTTTACACACCGCCTACTCAAGCAACATGTTTTTTGTGTTAATCTAATCGGATGATCCGTCTGCATGACCATTTTTACACCCTTTGCGCTCCATACCTCCGAAAGGGTAGACGTGCCTTTTGCAAAAACGCCTCGCGATCGAGTACGAACCAAATGATTTTTCAATCATTTGTTTGAACCATGTACGTGAATTTTAAAATTGAAAATCTTGGTACGGAACCCAAAAAAATAGACACAAAATGTGTATACATTATTAAAATCTCTATAAAATATTTGATAATTCGATGTACATATGTCCAATGATCATTTTTGACCGCCAAATGGCATTTTTTTAACTTATTTTTATTGGAAGTCCTTTACCGCTTGACCTACCTTCCCAAAAATTTAATCAGTTTTTGATCTTGTCAATACAAGTAAAATGTTTTTTGAATTATTAAAATCGGACTCTTAAAAACCGAGTTACCGATTTTGGCACTTTTTGCCTCGTATCTTCAAAACGACCAGACCTACCAAAAACTAATCAGCACGTCCCCTCATCAATACGAATCGAATGTTTTTTGAATTATTCAATTCGGTCGATCGGTACAAATCGTCGACGTCAAAAATTTGTATCCGCACACACACACATACATCCATTTTTTCTAAGGTGTGCCAAAATGTTCAGAAACCGTTGAAACGTTTGAAAGATATATAATAATTTTCATTTACGATTTTTTGCCATTACTATAACTTGCCCTACGGGAAGTTAATTATTAACTTATTACCTTCCATGTAGTCACATGTTTCTTGAACAAAAACTTCAATCTCCCCGAATATATCATTTATCTTTTTCTTAGCTTTCACGAAGATCTGTAGTGGTGAAGATTCCATGTTGGAACGCAAAGAACGATGATCACCACCAGCCATTGCAGATTCCAAGCGGTTGTTCACAGAGTTTCCGTTTTGACCAGATCCAGCCACCATGGATATTGTGCGGTTTAGATATGCAGCCATGCCACAAACCGAGGACAGCAGTCGGATATAAAATTAGTGTATTTTTTTGGTTCAATTACCCAAGTGTAACTTTTTTTTTTTATAGATTTTTTGATTGTGAATGCAGGCAAAAATATACAAACTGAAACAATAACACACATAATATATAATATATAAATAATAAAACTACGTGTCTGGGTTGGTTTTACTAAATAAAAAGATAAAAATTATAACAATAATAATTATTTATTAGCACTCAAGAAAAATATCTACCATCTTAATTAAATGTATAGGTATAATATAATTTAACTGATTGAAATCTATATTTTGAATTATTTGCAGTCTATCGTTCTTGTTTTATTCATAAAATTATTTTTGCACAAAAGAAATAATATATATCATATTAATCAGTTATAATTAGTTATAATCAGAATAAATTTTTTTATTCAAAAGCTTTAAGAGCAAAAGATACTTAAAAACTTGCAGAATAAATATGAGCAGAATTTATGTTCATAAATACTGTTGAAATTTCTACAAAATGTGGTGTCATTCATATTTAAGATTTTAGTTAGTTTTCCTAGTACTAATAAGCATGAATATAATATTTTAAATAATAAAAAAGTAAATAATCTACACACAATGGCTCATATTGTATGTTTTATGATGTTTTAGTATTTGTATTAAATGTGAATCAATCAATTACTAATACTAATTGTATTAAGATCATCAAAATATATATCTTTGGTCAAGATTTGACCAGGGCTTTTTCTATTTAACCTGGGACCTTTTGGGGTAGGGGGTATGAATGTATAAATATAAATACCTGGAACTTATATTAAAGCAGAGACTAGCAAAAGTAACAAGGGAAGAAAGTTATAGAGTGATCAATATATATCATAAACTAAGTAGTAGTTTTATTCATATATCTTATGGTGATGGATTATTTATAATTACAGTCCGCTTAAAATCTAATTAATCATAGTGATCCTCACCAATCTTAATTTAAAAATTTTATTAAAAAAAATCATCTGATAAGATTTTTTAATTGAAGCAGGTATAAATAAAATCTTAAAAGCATAACCATTAAAAAATTGTATATCGAGTATAGACATGATGTTGAAGAACCCAACAACAAGCCGAAATGGGAATATAGGATGTATGTATGTATGTATTTATGTATATATATATATATATATATATATATATTGTATTCAACCACTTTGTGTAGATTATTCACTAATATATACCAATAAATTCAAATAAAATTGTGTGTGAAATAAACATGACAAAACATCAAAAGCGACAACAACAAAAGTTGTGTGTGTTTGTGACATCTACATGCAAGCTGTTTAATTTATTAAATTTAGAGACCTTTTTATCTTGTGCCATTTTTTATGTTATTATTTTCCCAATTCGATATAACAGCCTGAAATGTATGAACATTGATTTTTGTTAGGTTATTTGTGCAACTTACCTAATTCGTAAATAGTATAAAAATATTAAAAACTATCAAATATCAAATATAAAAAATTAATAAAAATTGCGCATTTATAATTAGTGACAGTTATTTGTAATGTTTTGTTATCACATAGCATTGAACGAAAAAACTTGGCTCTCATAGCACACTAGACTAGAAACAAAATCAATAAAACTTACCTCAGTTAAAATTTATCATGATCATTTGAAACAAATATTTAGATCCTTTATTATTTAAATTTAAAAGTGTTTTTTGTCAAATCATTATTAATAAAAATTGAATTATTTGGTAATATTCCAATATTGCATTTGACACTTCGGGCAAGGATTGAGTTTGACGTCTTTTATGTTGGTAACATAACCTCAAAAATGTTTGGAATGCAGAGGCAAAGGCAAATTTTAAAAAGCTTGAAATTATTTAATGATTCTCTAAGAACATGCTACGTACAGGTAAAGAGACCGAACTTATTAGACCTTCCTCCTGCAGACGAATCAAATCTTGTAAAGTCAAAGATACCTCTATCTACTGTTCTTTGGAACAAAATAAAGGCTACTGGACCCATTACGGTTGCTGAATACATGAAAGAAGCCCTAACAAACCCAATTTCTGGTTATTATATGCACAACGATGTATTTGGCCAAAAAGGAGACTTCATTACATCACCTGAAATATCTCAAATGTTTGGTGAAATAATAGCTATTTGGTTTTTGAATGAATGTAAAAATGTTCGAGCTCCACCAATAATTCAAATAGTTGAACTTGGTCCAGGTCGTGGCACTTTGGCTAAAGATATCCTCAGAGTATTCCATCACTTTGGATTTTCAAATAAAATTAGTTTGCATTTAGTAGAAGTAAGCCCTTATTTAATTGCTGCCCAATCTCGACTTTTGTGCATGCATTCTAGCATATCATCAAACCCTAAAAATACTTTTGTGCGATCAGGTGAAACATCAAACTCTGTACCTGTATATTGGTACAATGACATCAAAGATGTCCCCAAAAAATTTTCAGTAATCCTAGCTCACGAGTTCTTTGATGCACTACCGATACATAAACTGCAAAATACACCAAGTGGTTTGCGAGAAGTTTTAGTGGATATTGATGCTGAAAAACCTAACACATTTCGTTATGTTTTAGCAAATAATGATACACCTGCTAGTAAAATGTGCACACAACCTTTAGAAGGAAAGGATCAAATTGAAATCAGCCCACAAAGAAATGTTATAGTCGACCATTTGGCTTCAAGAATTGAAGAAGATGGTGGTATGGTTTTAATTACAGATTACGGTCACAATGGTGACCAGGGTGATACTTTTAGATCATACAAATCCAACAAACAACATGATCCTTTAATAGATCCTGGAACTGCTGATTTAACAGCAGATATTGATTTTTCTCAAATAAAACGTATAGCTGAAGCCAATGAAAGGTGCATAACATTTGGACCGGTTACTCAGAGAGATTTTCTGAAAAGAATGGGAATTGATGTTAGATTGAAAATGCTCTTAAAGAAAGCTCCGAAACAAACAGTAGATTCGTTAACAAGTGGTTATTCTATGATTGTTGATAAAGAACAAATGGGGGAGAGGTTTAAATTCTTTTGTATGTTCCCAAATGTATTACGGTGTCAACTTAAAGAAAGTCCGGTTTGTGGATTTTCATGAAAATGGTTTATTTCAAATAGTTTACAAAAAGAAAACAAAGAGTGTATTTATTAAATTGTTCTACTTAAAATTAAATGTGTTTTATTTCCCAAAATGGCAGTCAGATTTTCAATTCATTTTACATAATTGAATTAGCTCTAAATAAGTATTAATTATTTTTAACACTTGTGTATGAAAACATTACTTGGGTTAAAAAAATCTTGATTTCATAATGCAAGTGGTAGTTAATTAGTAAAGACGCTTCAAGTTTAGATGTGAATTGTATCCAATGCAATTTTAAATATCTCATAAAATTTGAAGAAATAAGAATATACAAAACTTTTACAAGAAATTTACAAAGTTTGCTATAAGAATTAACAAAAATAAAAAGAAAAAGTGCCTTGTACATTATTCTAAGAGCGAAAATAGCATGGTACACTTAAGATTTATCTAATATGTTTATCCTAATCTTAAAGATTACTGAATTCAATACATTATGTTACAAAAAAAATATATATATATATATACAAAATTCAAACAAACTATGTTCATTTGAAAACTAATCAAATATTGAAATGTGTCCTTACTGGTCTATCACTGGGTTATTTGTATAAGCCTTAATATATAAAATTGTACTTATTAAGCTTTTAATTTAATTGCTTTTATTACCTTTAGTTCTTATTTTTTATTACAATTTTACCACCGCTCATCTGAAATGGTGTTCTTTTAGAATGCCATTGTTCTTGGCTTTCCAATATACTGTCCAGAAAATTTGATGAACTGCTGGCGGGTACTATAACTCTCTTTTTAGGTTCTGGTTTATTTAAGCTACTGACAAGTTTTGTACTAACTTTAGTAATAATAGGTTTGTTAACAATAGGTGGTTGTTCATCTTCTGAATCATCTGAAAAATAATCTAGTTCATTCGGACGTCCAAACAAATGCAAAGTTGATGCTGTTGATTGAACCACCTCCTGAGGTTCTCTCTCTGAATTCTTACTACTACAGTGCTTTTTACTAGAAGATGTTGCCTTTCTTTTTTTAGATTTTCCTTTAATTTTCCTTTTAGTCTTTCGTTTGCTTGATTTTCTTTTCGTCGGTACCAACTTTCTTACTGCAATTTTTGCTCCTGTTTCTTGGCAAATTTCATATTCAGTTGTGTACTTACGTCTGGTGGTTTTTCTTCGTTTCTTCCTAACAGTCTTTCTTTTGGAAGTAACTCTTTTCTTTACCGTTCTCTTTAATGCTTTTTTAGGAGAGTCCTTTATCACTATGACGTCATTAGAGGCAAAACCTGAAGATGTTGAGGGCTGATCGGGGTCAAATATATCAATAAATGTATATTGTCTTCTCTGTGTTTCCACATTATGTCTTACACGTTCACTATGCATGGTTCGAGGGATTAGCCGGGATTCTATGGGTTCATTCCTTGAAGTAGTTCGGTTTAGTAAAGAACACGCAGAGCAAAACCAGTCGCCAGCGGGAACTTCTTCCAAAGGAGGTGTCAAACAATCCATATGATAACCAGAATCGCAGCCATCACATAACAGCATAATATCTTCCCTATCACTTTGATGACACAATTCGCAAAAAGTTGTGTCATCTATAACTTCTTCTTCAACAGACTTTTCAACTTTAGTGACTTTAACTTCTCTTTTGTGTGTGGATAAATATCTTTTTCGGACCAACATTACAGTGAACTCTTTTCGATCGATGGGACATGTACTAACATTCTTTGACCATTCTTGTAAGCATTCGAAACAAAATGTATGAGTACAAGATTCTGGCGTGGCTACTTCTTGTTTGGACAATTTTAATAAACATATTGGACATTTTTCAGAGTTTTCATCATCAGAACTAGAGCTAGTATTTTCTTTGGATGCCTCTTCGTTATCTTTTATATCATTCAATAGAACCTTTTGAAGTAATACTTCGCTATTATCACTTGACCAATCAGATTGCCATTCAGATTCTGTTGAATTACTTTCACAATCGCTTTCCAAAGCTCTAGGACCTTTTTTTGAATTCATAATTGGTTCAGAATCCGAATCACTGTCACTAAAATTACTACTGCTTTCAGAAAGTTGACGCTGTAAAAAAAAAAAATTTAACATCAACACTATAATCATTCTTTAATAAAATTAGAGTTATACCACATTTGAATCCTTCAATCTGTTAACTATCTTGTTAGTAAATTGCAGTTGATAAATTCAATAAATATTACCTTAACTCTCTTTGCTGGCCTATGTAAAATGGGACTACTATCATTACTACTATAGTCTTCTGATTCTTCAATATTATATTTTTTCTTTCGCTTAACCGGAACAATATCTGACTCATCACTATCGGACATGATGATTTTATCTAAAAGAAATAATCTAATGAAAGTTATTTCCATTTTGAAAAAAACAGTAACAATAGACAAATGGGTGAAGAGTGTGCACACATAACCTAAATCTGATACCAAAATTAACTAAAAATAAATCAATTATATACTTGTTAGTAAACAATTAGATTAAATTTTTGTTAAGTATATATTTGCTCTTTTGCAAAAGGCAAAAATTGAGCAAGTGAAAAAAAGCACAGCATTTTAGAAGAATTATATATTCATTTGATAAATTAATAACTCACTTATGGATTATTATAAACTATATCGAAATGTTTATGCTATTAACTATCAGATCTAGTTTCGGAGTATTCGTTAGTAAATCATAGCAAAAAGGGCTAAATTCTGTTAAAAGGTCTGTTATATTCCGCCATACTGTCAAAAAGGACAAAAATTGAGAGCGTGTTTATTAGGGTGTGCGCACAAACGACATTTGTTGCAACGACAATTTGCCTTTAAATATTAAATTTTGAAATAAATCAGAATGACTCTTTGTAAAAAAACTAGTGGTGCGTGGCAAAATTGCTTGAAAAAATGTAAAAATCTAATAATTTTAAGATTTAAAATTCATTCAAGTCGGTTAAACATTAAAATAAAAAATGTCTAGAACATTTATTTGAATTATATAAATAAAAAATTGTATCCATTTACACATCAATTTATTTAAGGTAATCGAAAATGCTCAGGGACTCCTGAAATGTAAAGACAAGTTTGTTACAGTTTCATAAATTGATTCACTTTTTGAATAAAAAACTGCTTGATAGAGATCTTCATTTTAAGGCCATTTGTTTTAGTTTTTGGAAATCAATTGGGATAGGAATTTTTTAAAAATGCATAAGAGTCATTGAAGTCACTTTACTTCTGATATACTCTTAATTTAGAGAATTTAATATACTAATCAACGATAGTTTATGGACATTTTCAAAATTGAACGACAGTTGATAGAGATCATATAGAGATCAACATTTTAAGGCTATACTGTATAATACCATTTATTTTTGTTTTGGAAAATCAATCGGGATAGGAATTAATTAAAAATGTATAAGAGTGGTTGAAGTCACTTTACTTTTAATATACTATTAATTTAGAAAATTTAATACACCAAATAACGTTGGTTTATGGGCATTTTTTAATATTGAACGACATTTGAAAATTACTACTATTACTATTTTATAATTCTCATGAATATATATGAAAATTAATAATGTCATCGTTAAAAAAATAAATTTATTTATGAAAGAAAAAAAAAACAAAACTATGGTATAAAAAATTTCAAAAGCGAAACCTTTTTCTTGGTTTCCGTTCAGGAATGCCAATATCATCGTTTATTCATTTTTTAATGTGCTAAATTAACTCGAAATATATTTATGAATAAATTAAATCAATTAAACTGTTAATTTGTGAATTGCTATTTTAATATATATGTTATATATGAAGTTGCCTAAAATATGAAAAGGATTTGATTCATGAAATTTGACTGTGTGCACACCCCCTAAGAAAATTGAGCTGTCAATAGATAAACTCGTCGTAAAAAGTAGCACCAATAAATTGTTTATCTATATTATAATTGATAAACGGTATAATCAGTTTTATCTATATAGTAGCATTTTATCATTTAATTCTCCAAATTGTATTATATTCCATGTCGAGATCGTCAGTCGTTTGAGCGTTGGCGATACTGTGACAGCCATTGAATGTTTTGCGTTGCGTCACCGGGTTAAATAGAGTGTGGAGAAATGGGCGGCTTTCGGTGTTTATTGCTTCTAACAATATTTTAAATGTATTTATTTTCGGTAGTATAATTAAACTTTCTAGTCCGTTTGTTACGAAATTATGTGTAATCGTTCATATGTGATATTTAAATTAAAATCATCTGTCATGGTGATCAGACTCTCTTCGAAACGAAAACATTTCTGAAACAACGGTTGTGATACAATATCAAAGGTATTCGTATATAATTATATTAAAAAATATGTTAGAAGCATAAATGTACGACAGGTGTGATGTTCGATCGATGGAGTTCAATCGAGTGTTTAATTGATAAGATAATATTTGATAATAACTAGTAAGAGGAACGTCGATCGGTATTCTCTTCCACGATGTCAACATCGTATGACAGCAGCATGCCCCAGTGGAAACGGGAGCTACTTCAGCGTCGCAAATGTCATCTGACCGCCAAGACTTCTTTTCCACCGAACAACGGTATATCCTCTGCTGCCTCTGTTCCAAACAACGGTCTCTCCATCTCCGCTCCACTTGGAGGGGACGCAGTGTCAATAACTCCCCGGAGTCGTCAGTCTGCCGCGGACTTTAGTAGTGTGAACATGGTTGAAGAGCGTCTCTGCGGGGCTTCGCCCGCGGACGCCGACTCGGACTCCTCCGAGGAGCTCCAATACGGCCCGGGAATAGTGAACAAATTGAAGTGCAAATATTTGAGTCTCGCCTTGCGGGAATCCCGCAAAGCTAGGCCCACAGTGTTACCCCTGCGGCGTGCCACGAGTCTCGATGATCTATTAGACGACAATGTCGATCAGGAGCATGTTAAAGTTAATGTGTACGAGAAACCGAGGACGAACAGGGCGCTGGGGCGCGGAAATGAGAGCTTGAAACGTGCGAGGTCGGTGGAGACTCTGCTGCGATGTGATAGAAAACAGCAGCCTCAGGTCAGCGAAGTGGGCAGCCGTGAATCTTTTAACGAAGACGTTGTGATAGACGAACGTCCAGTGCCTGCACCTAGAACTACTAGTAGTAATTTATGCGGGGTTAATCAGAACAATAGCAACAAACCCCGTAGAGTTGCGCCTCTTTTAGCGGATGAAGAAAGGCCGCCCCCGGACACGGTGCGGAGCGCTTTGCGGATCTTCGAGAGCAGCGTGAGGCGTGCTCGCCCCCTGAAACCGGTCGGCGACGTGGCTGTTAAAGTAGCTAACTATAAAAATATCATATCGAATGCTAAAAAGCCTGCCGTTTTACCCAAACCAGCCCCGGTGGTCGTGAGTGTTGAAAACATAGCTACTGTAAAGCCTAGTACAAAACCACCGGTTAAAATACAACCACCTACGCCTGTGGTTTATGGATTAGGTAGTAACATGGGGTTGAAACCACCGAGTTCGCCTAAAAATAACAAGTTAATACGCACACCACCTGTGTCACCTAAAAAACAACCTATGAAAAACATAATTCTAGACACGAGGGAAAACGACAGAGCTACGAGTCCTAGAAACTTGAACTCATCCCCTATTCTGTTACGCACTCCTTCACCAACATCTCCAATTCTGCTATCCCCAACCGCAGACGTGGTACCCCAAAGCCCTCAGTCGCCCTTACTACAACAACCTTCTTTTCCTCTTACGAACGGAAGTGCCGTTAACGGTTCGCCTACGAGACAGGTCGGGGTGATCCGGCCCATGGAGCCCCCCGAGAACGATAGGCAGAAGGCCTTGGAGCACGAGAAGAATCTTAAGAATGCTAGAGAGAGCAACGAACTTAACAATCACACGCAGAACAACAGTTGGGGTAGTAATAAAAAGTCGTGGCACCAGCAGTCGGAGAATACGATGGTGTTTAATTTCAGAAATCGAAAAGATGTTCCGGATTATATCGAGAACGACGGACTGGTGATGAAGACGAGGCGGGACAAACCAAAGGTAGGATAATAAAAAATATTTACAAATATTAATTATTATATTCTGCCAATGCGATTTAGAAAGTACGCGGAAAATGTTCACATAATTTAATGCGTTTTAAAAAACAATAATCTCAGTCGCGATAGTTGATTTATGACACATAAAATTTTGATTTGTTCAAAATGCCATGATGCAATATTTTCCAATACCAGGAAATTAAACAAAATGTTGTGGATAATTATTCATGCTATTATGTATAAGGAAGAGTTGAAAGGATATTTAAATGCACATAAAAACTAATAGACTTATAATTTTATGTGTATAAAATATTCTAAATAGGGACCACAGGGAATAATATTTATTTAAAAAAAATGAAAGATATTTAGCTGCAAACATTTTCTGCACCTTCATTTTCATAGTATTATCCTGTACCCACATCTACAATTTCATATTGTTGTCCTGTAACCACATCTACAATTCAAAAGTTTTTAATATCCTATCCTATTTGATGTCCTGCTTTTGTGAATTCATTTATGATCTTATAATAAGCAGTATAAATAATTCAGAAAAAAATAATTTAGTATCTGCGCTAAAAGGACAATATCACACTTAATTTTACCTAAAATTTATGTTCCCGAACAAAGTTTTTGATTAATTTAACATTTATCTCACATTGGCATTCGTTGGTGTAATTGTGATTTGTAGGATGAGAAAATGAAGCTTATATATATTTTAAGGTGCTTTTCAGGACGCACGGTTGTTGTTGGAGTCTTGTAGTTTTGGTATTTTGTACTTCAATATGTCTACTTTTGGGCAAAAATATTAAAAATGATATGCCCGGAATAAAATATTTGAATTTTATGTTTTTGTCTAAAAGTACACACATAAGTTACTTGTGTATTCAATGAGCTCTTCAGGACGTACCGTTAGTAGTAGAATGTATGGAGTATATTATACTTGAATATTTCTATTCTATAAACAAATACTAAAATCAACAAGTACTGAAGAAAAATTATTTTTAATTGAATATTGAACCCTAACACACTAAAGGTGATTACTAGTTCTAGTTGGTATAATTGAGATTCGTGGTATGAGGTAATAAACTAGATGTTTGATTTTGAAAAGCTCTTCAGGACGCACCGTTGGTGCCAGGGTTTTTGGTATTTTATTGTTCAATATGTCTACTAGGACCTCAAATACTAAAAACGATATGTCCGGTATAAAATATTTGAGTAATTTATGTTTTAGTCCAGAAAGACACATATAAGTTACTTATATATTCAATGAGCTCTCCAGGACGTATTGTTAGTACAATAATATAGTAATTTACACAACCTAATTGCTTCAATAATTTAGTCTATAGTTTTCATAATTTCGGACGATATATTAGTTACTTTTTGGCAATTATAATTTCTAAAGTACATTTTTCTTACTAATCATTTAATAAACATTATTGAATGTTCGATTGCAAAGTTATAAAATTTGAGTTATAGTTTTAAGTAAAATTTCAAAATAGCATTTCAAACTCGAAAATTGAGAAAACATTCGAAATATTTAGTAGAGCAAAAGATAAACTCATAGATAAACGCATAAACTGTTCTTGTTTTAAGAGTTGATTCAAAGAATTTAATACCATATTAATTCTTTTATCTGTTGGCATAATTCAAAGTTTTTCTGAATATTTATGAATCACACTGATAATTTGTATCATAATTGTCATTATTATATGATAATAGCAAGTTTTCAAGTAAAAACCCAGAATCTGTGTGTAAATGAACAATTTTTCATCTACTTTTTCCCTATATTTTCAATTTTGTATTTATTTGCTTACATTTGTAATTAATGGTAGGAAGAATTAAGTAAACATTATTTCTAAATTATAATGCTATATTTTATTTGTTCGCCGTAGGGTAAGTTAATAGTAAGTAATCACAAAAAATGGAGATGGATTTTTTTTTCATAATTTTACGTTTCAAATATTTCTGATCATTTTGGCATATCTTACTAATGCAGATACAAATTTTTGTTGACGATTTCGAGAGCATGGATTTGAGAGATTTGATGAATGATTCAAAATGCACTTGATTCGTAGTGATGGGGAGGCTTGCTAATAAATTCTTGGCAAAAAGTGGGAAATTTTAGAATTTATAGAATAGATTTAAAAAGGGTTTTCTTATCTTACGATCTTATTGTTAGATCGTAAAGAAGAAAAAACAAGATTAGCTAAATTTAAGGAATAGGTAATTGTAATGTAAGGATTTTTAATCTTGTTTACAACATTATTTTTTTCTAAATATGTTTTCATCATCTATCTACATAAAATATTAAGACAAATGTTCATCACGTGCAAAAAAAAATTAAAAACTATTTAAATCTAGAAAGGGAAACAAAGTTAAAATGGATTGTCATATATTAGTAGACTTGAAACAGATCATGAGGATGTTTTTTTTTAATTCTTACGTTATGAAGTTGTTTGAATAGTAAATCGGTGGAAACCGATATCACTATTGCTTGATATCAGACTGCCCGAGGCAGGTACCAAGTCTTAAATGTTAAGTCATATTTGTTTTATTAACTTGACCAAATCTCTGATGTAGTTTTAGGCATTTTAGTTTTTAATTGTTGTACTTATTTCTATGTAATATAGGTGGTTTTCTTGAGAATGTAATTTAGCCATTGGAATAAAATTCGCTCTGCTCTCATATTTACATAATAAATCATTTTCGCGGTCCATTGATTGATCAACCATGCGTCAACAGATAAATTTTGAAATCTGCTACTTAAATGAAATATTTAATAGTAATTCTGAGTATTTCTCAAGTGCCAAGTAAATAAACATAATATCTTATCTAGTTGATTTTTCCTTGGACCGCTCTTAAAATTGAATCCTTTTTTCAAAAAAAATGTTGGTACGGGAAGTTTCAGCAATTCGTCTTAAGGCACATACATCATAAATAACTAGTATTTATAATATTTTTGAAAAAGTAGAAAAAAATTACCATAATTTCAATGTTAGTTAACAAAAATAGGCCGAAAATGTTTGTTTTAAACAGTTCCTGAAGAAGATGACAATGACAAGGTAGAATAATATTTCAAAATAAGTTGCGAAAAATAAAATCATAAATAATATTAGTTACAAAGATAAACTTTATATAAGTGTGATCGAGCGAGTCTTACAAATGTTTCAATAACAATTTCAAAAATAATTTCAATAATTATTTTATATTGTATATTATTCTAATTATTATTTTATATACCTATTACCGTGACGGGTCTCTAATAATGTTTAATGTTGATAAATGTACATTTCCATTCAACGCCATTATAATTTTTTATTTGATTCAAAAATTTCAAAACATCCAACGAATTTGTTTCTACTTATGCAATCTAAGTGTAAATACACGAATACGTGTTGTGTTTGCTTTGTTAATTTTCGAATCGATAATGAATTCTTGATTAGATTAAATCGTAATATTTGTTTAACATTTACTCTATGATTCATGGTAATATTAGAAAATATTTATTAATAGTGCACGATATGTATATTTTTTGATTAATTGCATTTAATCATTCTAATTAATGCGAAGTGATATTTTTGCTTAGAATTTTGGTGTGAATTATATTTAAGGATACGGTTTCTCAATTTTATAATTAATACTAAATTGTATATTATATATTTTTTATCATAATTATATATTGACGAGTACGAATTTTGAAGGAAACATATTGTTAATTATAGTTTTTAGTAAAAACCTCAAAATGTGTAAGTTAGGGTCACCAATTGCGTAAGAACGTACATTTCATAACTATCTTTTATCCTTTTATATCAGCTCTATAATTGTTTGTTCTATTTCTGAACTATTTTGTTTAACCATAAATTTGTTATGTTAGCGAGTTTAGCTGATTAAACAAAAACGTTTCGAGTTGACATTGAGACAAAAATAATAAGCAAACTAATTGAATAACATGCGTTTGTTTTGCAATTTGAAACAGTGCGATAAAAAAAATATGTCGTTGTTAAATAAAAAAATCTCTACCGGTTGACGGTTTTGACATTGAAAGTTCAGATTGACACAATGGCACTTTCATGTTTTAATATTATCAATAATTGGATCAATAGTTTATTGATGGATGGAAGTAGAAATCCAATACGTTTCCTGAATGATTGGATTTAAATTTTTAGGTTTTCAGTGAATTTCGATCAAGTTTATTTTAAAATGAATTTTCCTAAATAATTCTCAGAGTTTTGCGATGGAAAGGTTATCATCGATAAAACTAGATTCGTCAAATCTACCCTTTCAATTTAAATGAAATTAGTGTCAGGTTAGGCTAACAATTGCAATGACTTTTAGTATGCCCCAGGAACATCTATAAGTGGCATTGCACTGGGTAAATCACCCATATAATATGTTTGAGCTGCCCCTCTTACTTGCATGTTATTAAGGGGTTAGGGGTACTTGCAGGCACGAAAAAATAAGTGTTTTCAGTATTTTTTTTTGTTATTAAACGATGTTTTTCTACAAAAATATTAATACAGCATTATTATACAATGTTTTAACTTGATGTAACAAAAATTTCAGAAAAAAAAAATCAATATTCCCAAAGTTAGAGCCGTTTTTGTTGACCCTGTTTCGAAAAACGGTCCTGGCGGTGACCATCATAACTCCTTAGAGATTCATCTAAAATCAATCAAATTAAAAAAATAGTTTTATGAATAGTTAATCCCGGGCCGGATCGAAGGTTTTCCTTTTTTTGCAAAAATTAACAAAATGGCAGCATCAGAAAGAAAAAATCTAGATTTTTGGGTAAAAAATCAACAGTTAATTAGTCTTAAAAAATTCAAATTTTTGAAAAAATAAAAATCCTTCGATCAGGCACGAGTTTATTATGTATTCTAAAAGCTGTATGAATTTCATTAAAATTTACTAAGTGGTTTTCGAGTTACAGTGGTCACCGTTTCAAAAAACATAGTTTTGAGAAAAACGCGTTTAAAGTTTCACATTGGATTTACGTACAGAAAT